CTTCTCTACAATATTTATAGCTACACAATACCATGCAAAGGATAATGGTGGCAACTTCCAAAAAAATACCCTGTGCACAAAAGTATATTTTATAACAAACTTTCTTCTACCGTTCCACGAACCATGAGTTTGAAAGCATTAGTAATCAAGACCGTGATGCATAATGAGTACATTTACACTAGGAAAAAACCTTACGCAAATGTGTTTTTTCCAGTCGGTGGTCCCGGGAGTCCAAGCTAGTTAACTGATGAATTAAAAAGTGTGTCGCTATGAGGCTTGAGTAAACAGCAGCACTTTACTAATGTAGCAGTATCGAGATTGTGATCTGAATACATGAAAATCTTAGGATAGCTAGGAGGCCAAATGTATGTGTGTGTAAACATTTTCCTAATGTATAGTTGAATTCTATGCTTTAAACCATGTGCACTTTTTTTTTCTGTTACAAAATGTGTAAAAAATTGGTGCACTTGTCAAAGCACATGATTAAATAAATCAGGAAAGTAAACGTAAGAGCTCATCATCCAGGGGCTGAGGTCAGGATACCTTTATTTTGAGTTTGTTTAGTCTGGTCCTTCTCATAGTTGTTAAAGCACTGTGTTTGCTTATCCTTCAGTTAAATAATATAAAGTCTCTCTGTTTGCTCAGACATTTATCAAGATCCTGAAAATTTGGGGTAAATTTTCATAGTTGGAAAAACAAAAACAAAACAACCCTAGGGTTTGAACTTTAACTTTAACATTTGCTAATAGATGTATGGCATGGGGAAAGGTGTAGTAGGCACTTAATAGTTAGAAAAGAGAGTTAATGCTGCTTGTGTGAGAATGATGCACTAGACCAGTGGTGCCTGACCTTTTTGGCGTGAGCAGTCCCAGATCTGTCTGGGGACCCAATCTGGTGTATAGTGCTGGCCCAGCCAGAGACTGATTTCAGCTATGTGGGAAGGTCCTGCCTTCAGGACATAATGTGGCTGGGCCATTTCCATGTGGCTGCATCGGGCCTTGCTTGATTCACATGCATACCAGCTGCATGGGGCTTGGAAATTTGGTGGTGGCAGCAGTAGTAATTGCCACCACTTCCCCATTGCCAAATTCCTAGACCTGTGGGGAGACCTGCAGGCCACAGGTGGCCCATGGGCCGGGAGCTAAGCATGCCTGCATTAAGCTAATTTTGAGTAAGGGGTCCTTCCAAACTGGAACAAATACATAGAAATCTGGGATAGGCTACATCTGCTGTATAATCATTGGGTGCATCAACATGTGCCATTAAAGCGATGCGATAAACTCCGGTGCAGTTTGTGCCAGTGTTTATCACAGCGCCTTAATGGCACTTGTAGATGCTCAAATTGTTGTGGCCCAGGGTGCACATACAAGTGCTGTGCAGTTTCAACCGGGGTGGAGCAGCCATGGGCTGGCAGGTGTCCTAGGGGTCAGCCCCAGGCTCCAGTAGGCAGCATCTGCCAGCAGAGGGGCTGGCTGAGGCACGAGAGCGCCCCAGCTCGTCGAGTTCTGTGGCTAGGTGGCAGACAGGTCTGGCTCCCTGCTACCTGGGCTGACCTGGCACAATGTCAGCTTTTATACATGTTTAGGTTAGAGGTGCACTGATACATCGGTCCAATATCGGATCGGCACTGATTATAAAGAAAATTGATTGCATCAGAAATCAGCCTGATGTAGGCAATAATTTGGCTGATAAATGCCTGTGCACGCATGCAGGGAAGAGCCCAGCAGGGCACCAACTGGCAGCTTCAGCCCACCCTGCCCCACCCCACACAGATCTGGGGGCACGCCACCCCATGTGCTCCTGGGGTGTGTGCAGGAGCTGTTCCCAGCCCCAGCTGGGCAGCACCTGCCCCAGCCCAACTCCTATACTCCCTCCCTCACCACGAGGAGCGGGGCCTTGCTTTGCCTCGCACGCCCCTTCCCTCCCCTGACCCCTTCCACCACAACAGACTTACCAGCTGCACGCAGCTGTATTGGATCGGTATCAGCTGATATGCTTCCTTAAAAATCGGCTACTAGTATCGGCCCCCAAAATCCCTATCAGTGCACCCCTAGTTTAGGTGAAGTTCTTTCACTGCCATAATATAATACTGTCACCAACAGTACTATCTTACATTGGTAAAACATGGTTTGCTGCAGTCTAATAGCGTCGCATGTAGAGGCTGTGATGCTTTACACTACAGCAAATTAGTCTACTGCTCAGTTAAGCACGTGTGTAGATGTACCCAGTGTTTACGTAACACGACTTGAGGCCTTCTCTTAAATGTTGGCTCATACTGTTTTGGCTCTCACCTTCCATTCCTGTTACATTTTGTAATCAGCCTTGATCTCCTAATGTTTGCCTTACTAATAAGGGAATGTTCATCTTGGGCTACAAACTTTTAATATTTTGTCACTTCCTGTTGACTTTTTGCTGCTGTTCAGGTTACAATTGATGATAACAGTAATGTGTTACTAGAAAACTTCTTGCTAAAGAATATTCATTGTTTTTCCGCCTTACTATTTCTACTAGAATGTTACTGTTTTTTAAAACATTGCTTTAAAAAGGGTAAAATTAAAAACAAAATTGTAGACTTAATTGAAGGCATTAGTATTTTCATCCCACTGATTTTCAAATATGTGCATAACTGCTGTCGGGAGTATGATACATCTGTGTAACGTTAAAACATCTGCTTTTGTTTAGGAAGTCGAGAGCACCTTCCTTCTGACAGACATGACACACACGGGTCCAGAAAACTCAGAAACCTGTGCCACTCCAGACACCGACCATGACCAAGAGTTGGCTCAAGAGTGCCACAGACTGAAAACTTTTGTCAGCTTTCCAAGTGGCTGTCCGGTCTCTGCATCAACACTAGCACGAGCTGGTTTCTTTTACACGGGAGAGGGAGACAAAGTGAAGTGTTTCAGTTGTCAGGCAACTGTTGAAGGGTGGGAGCATGGAGACTCGGCAGTAGGGAGACACAAAAATATTTCCTCAGACTGCAGCTTTCTTACTGGATTTAACTGTTTGAAAAATGATATGCATCCTGCCCTCCAAAACTGCCAGCTCAGAATTGAAAATTGTTCTGGAAATTCAAGCCTTCCACACACTTTTGACAGTGCATCTGACCTAAGAGCAGATTATCTTCTGAGAACAGGGCAGGTTGTGGACATGTCAGATACCCTGTACCCTCGAAACCCTGCTATGTGCAGTGAAGAAGCTAGGTTAAGGTCTTTTCACAACTGGCCAAACTATGTACCATTAACGCCAACGGAATTAGCCAGGGCTGGGATGTACTATTCAGGTGTTGATGATCAAGTGGAATGCTTTTGTTGTGGTGGAAAATTGAAAAATTGGGAACCTTGCGATCGAGCTTTTTCAGAGCACAAGAGGCATTTTCCCCGGTGCTTCTTTGTCTTGGGCCACAATGTTGGAAACATCCCAAGTGAATCCAATTGTGCCGAGGTCAGCAGGAATAGTTCATACGATGCAGATCATCCAAGGAATCCCTCTATGGCAGAATACGATGTGCGGCTCAGGACATTTTTGAATTGGCAATACCCAGTTAACAAGGAGCAACTTGCCAAAGCTGGGTTCTATAGCATAGGTAAGCCAGACCTCAAGCTTAATTGCAATGCATGATTTCATCAGAATCTCCGTTAATCTAATGGAGAACGGCTTGCCAGAACTAACATTTGCTTGAGACTTAAAGTAAATGAACAAACCTAATCTTTTATTTTATGTTTCTATGTTGTTAAATGATTCGGTATGTTTGCCAAGTTTATAAAATATGAATCATCATCTTCAACAATAACAACATTTGATTTTTAATTAGAAATTCCTTCCTAGCAATAGCATGTTTAAAGAAAGGGAGGGTTTTAGAATGAAGAATTCTTTATTTTGGAAGCCCTTCTTAAGATATACATCTTCTCAAGTTTCCATCCTGAAAAATATCTTGAGAGACCACTCTATTGTTCACGTTACAAAGAATGAAATGCTGCCTTACAGGTGTTAAAGGGAAGGACAATATGTTTCTGGTTCACGTGCAGGATTTGAAACCAGGCAGTCTGCGCTCCGCTCTTCTGTTTTCACTCCTTTGTGTGTTTTCATAGTGGCAGCACTAAGCAGCCCCAATCGGATCAGAAGCCTACTGTGCTACAGGATTTACAAATATCCGTCTGAGGACTGGGTCTTCACGCCCCAGAGCCTTCAGTCTCACACATGCAGTGTGCATCTTTTTGTGAATAATTTTTCTACCTATAAAATGGGAATAAATTAACTGCTGGGCTTAATTTAATATTTTGGAAGCACTCTGACATTTTTATCAGAAACATAGTGTGTAAGTGCCAAATAATACTTATTATTGATTTACAAAGAAAAGGTGATTTTTCCAGGATAATTTCTAGATGTCACCTTCACTAACTGTTCTTTTCATGGTTCTTAAAGATTTTCCTTTCCATGTTTTCTTCCTTTCTCCCCCTGGCCCCCAAGTAAAAATTGTGATCCTGTCTAGCATGTCTGACATACAAACATGTCACCACCAGCAATGCAGACTTTAATATTGCCTGTATTATCTCAGGATTCTCAATAAAGTTTAGCTCCTCCAAAGCAAAGTCAGATCTGCAGAAAATGGGTAGCTTATCCGGCCATCTGGTTGTTGAGAGTAATTCCAGGAGGACCATGTAGTTCCTGTGGGCTGAGAAGGGTTTAGTTTCTGTGGAAGAAATCTATCCATGTCACGTCATTGCAATTAACTTAATATATTAGTAGCTTCTAATTGCATCTTTATAATATCCAGTGCAGTAGAGCTGCGACAATTTAATTTCCTTCCTTTCCTCCTTTAGTTCTAAACAGAGGTGATATGAGAAACTATTAGTCTGGACTAGTGAAAATGATGACCAAAAAGGTCTCGTTGAACAAGCGTTCTGTTATTTCCACTCATTTTAAGGGGATACTGAGATGTGATACAGAATACAAAGACAAAGGAAATCATGTCAAATCCTTTTCCCCCAAAATTTTATGGTGCTGTTTTTATACCTTATTAGTTGAGCACTGAAATAATGTTGTAATAGGTTTGTTAATAGTATTTCTGAAATATGTACCTGCCAGATAACAACATTCAATGAGGAAGCATTTCTGTGTAACTTTGGGTTTGTAGGGTTTTTTTTTTTTTTTAGTGTAAGTCAGGGATAGGCAACCCTCCAGCACGCATGCCAATTAGTGGCACATGGAGATATTTTCCTTGGCATGCCAGGTGGTGTGCAAGGAAATTGCTTTAAAAAGTTTTATTTTAAGTTGCTGCTCTGGGCTCTCTGGAACAGCGACTGATCCCAGGGCTGCAGCAGGCACTGGGGGGCAGGGGCAGAGGCAGAAGAACAGAGGCAAGGATGGTCTGCTGCTGTGCCCCAACCTGGCCCAGCCCTGGGAGAGGACCTGCGGGTGTGTGAAGCTGGGGCCCAGGCAGGTGCTGCTAGGCAGCATCCCTTTGCAGGCAGGACAGCTGTGGGCCATCCCTGTGGAGCTGTGCAGGCCGAGCCAGGCCCTGTTTTGGGTGCCACTGGGTGCCCCTGCCCACTCACCTGCCATGGCCTGAGTCTGCGGAGCCCTGGGGCACCCTTGCTTCCCACCTGGGCCCTGCTGTCCTCTGGTTGCTGCCTTCCCAAGGGCCCAGCCAGGCTGGTCTGCCCACAGCACCTCCTCCTGTGCTTGCTTCTCCCCATGCCACCCAGACCCTCCCCTGAGCACCTGGCCTCAGAGCTTGGTGCCCCAATGCTGCCCCTACCTGAGTGGGACGGGCATCAGTCTGCCCAAGCCCTGGCTGTACCCCCCTTTCCAGCCCTGGGCTCAGGCTGTCCCCACTCTGGGACCATCGGGGAGGCCTGAGAGCCCTGGCCCTGGTGGCTGCTGCTGGGGTGGCACTGCCTCCCTTGGCTGAACGCTGTCCTGGACCAGCCGGCTGGAGCTGCAGTCGGTCGTGGGTAGGACGGGCACACCCTCTTTCTCCCCTTCTTTTTTTTTCCTCTCTTTTTTCTTTCTTTTGCTTTTCTCTGTTTTTCTTCTCTTCATGCTCTCTTCCACTCTTTTTTCTTTTTCTTTCTTTCCTTTTCTTTACTTCTTACTCTCTTTTTTGTGTCCTCTCATTTTTCTCTTTCTTTCTCTTCTTTTTCTCTTTTTTCTCTCTCTTTCTCTCTCTCCAGTTTTTCTCTTCTTTCTCTTTTTTTCCTCTCATCACAACATGCGTAACAAAAAAAGAGTATGTAGGAATAAAGGTATTATATGGAATTTTATTTCTTGTCACCAGGTTTAGCATTTTTAGAAACCCCAGTATTTACTGTAAAAAAAAAAAAAGGCAGCAAACAACACCCCCCCCCATTTTTTATTATTAACTATATTAATATGCAGTGCAATGTACCCCCCATCCCAGTTTTGTTTTTCTGGCATGCCTTACAAGGTAGATATTGTGGTTTTTTGGCACTCTGGCCAAAAATGTTTCCTACCCCTGATGTAAGTCTTTTTTTCCCTGGACGTATGCCTTATTACATTTCATAATGGTACTGTACTTACCTGACTCCAAGACCACTCTGAATTTAAGACGAAGCCCTAATAATTGGACTCCAGACATGGAAAATAAATAGATTTGTTATATCTTTCCATATCTACAAGGTAATTATTGGAGCGCTGTCTTAAATTTGTTCCTCTGCTGCTGCGGGAAAGGCAGTGGCAGGGGGGCAGGTGAGGAACTTGAGTGGTCTGATTTCTGCTTCTTGCTTCACTGCTCTCTGTAGGCCCCAACACCCCCTGCCCTGCACAGTGTCTGTCCCCACTGTTGTCTGCATGCCCCAGTGCCTTCCCCTCCCACAGTGTCTGTTGCTACCACTGCCTGTGTGCCCTAGCAGCTGCTGCTCTGCCACTTCCCTCCCTCTTCTGCCCCCCTCCCATCCCTGCAACCCCTGGCACGTCCTCCCCCAGCCTCTGTCCCTCACCACCTCTGGCTCCTTCTCCTTCCCTCCACCCTTTATCGTCCATCTCCAGCACTGCTCCAGCCTTGTTCCTGGCTGAAGCATGGAGAACATGGTTGCTCTGACCTCTGCCTGGCCTCTGGGGTCAGAGCCCGGGTTGGAGGTGCTGCTAGCAGGCTGGGCTTGGCCGGAGCAAGCATGTGCTCCATGCCCCAGGCTAGAACAGGCCAGACCCCTGCCTGAGCCATAGTAAGTGATGGGGGCAGGTGTAGCTGTGACTGACCCTGACTGGAGTTGGAGCTGAAGCAAATGCCTTGCACTTGGATCCAAGACCCTAGTTGAACAGAAATGTTGAATGAGGGCAAAAACCTCAACTTGCATTTGAGTAAATGCAGTATCTGCAGAATCTTTTTTTCTCCTTAAATGCTCACTACTTATGACACACTTTTGCTTCCTTTTCTGTAATAGAAGCTTTTTACTGAAGTTCAGGGCCAGTTTATTTTACAAGCATACATCTCTCATTCACATGTCTCCTTAGGTAATGGAGATAGTGTCAAATGCTTTCATTGTGGTGAGGGACTGCAGGAGTGGAAGGAGGATGAAGATCCTTGGGAGCAACATGCTAAATGGTTTCCAGGGTAAGGTACTTTTTACTGTCTTGCTGCATGCACTTGACTCCTGTTAGCAGCACAGGCTACATACATATCAAGGGAGAGCGTACCAAATAGAGTCACAAACATTCAATTTGACTAAATTTCCGTGGGTTGATATGCCTTTGTCCTATCCTCCTTCAGCGTCTACCCTAGTTTGTCATGGGGGGGCAGGCGCACCGCTTAGCACTAGCACTCTTCCTGTCTCTGCCTTAGGAAGCAAGGCCTTCAGGGAACGCTCCACGGGGAGGCTCCCACCCCCGCACTCCCTGCAATATACTTCTGTAAAGCTGTTTGTGATGTCTACCTGCACTAGATTTGTCTTGGGTATTATGTCAGAAGTGAATGAGCCACCACTTGGAAGCCCAAAGAGGGGATGGAAACTGCTCTGCATGTAGCACAGTTACCTTGGGTGTTTTTACGTGTGCTCTCGGAGTGGAGGGAGGTCACTTTAATTAGAGCAGCTTTCAGAGCTAATTAAAGTGCCCGGACCATCTTGTGTATCAGCGTCCCTGTGCTTCAAAATGGCAGTGGGGGCGCTTTATCTAAAGTTTGTCAGATGAAGCGCCCCTCTCGCCATTTCGGAGACACTGGTGCGCAAGACGCAGAGGCTGGCTGGAGCGTGGTAAATGCAGGGTGTCATAGCCACCTCCCAAGTCGTGTGCAGGCACCCATCATGCTTGTTTTTCAAAAGTGAATTGCGGTTTTGGATGTCTTCAGTTTTGCTTAACAAACACTTTACCTCAAAGGGGGATACTAGTATGTTTTGTTTCCTTTCTGGATCTCCAGCTCCTTTACAGTGTCTCAAGTTGGGCACTTCAAAACTGTTCGCCAGTTAGTCCAAAAAAGATAGAATTTAATTCTCTTTCCAGCTTTTTCTGACCAGGTACCTGGGTATAGCTTCTTCCTGCCGACTAATTCAAGTCATTTGGGTCTTACTGAACCTGTCTTTGGCTTTCAGAGTTCACTCGTTTGTGTTTCCAGGAGGATAAGCATCCTGCCTGTGCAGGATGGGGGATGCCCAAGAATGTTGGTCCAGAGCAGTCTCAACAAAAAGCAAAACTAGAATAGTCCAGTGTGCAAGCTGCTTTTGGAGCAAGATGGGAGGAGGCCTTGAGAAATCTCATATGCTAAACATCAGTTGTGTGAAGAGCACAGCCGGCTGTCCCAGGCAGGACTCCAGGGGAAGCGCATGTGCTACCAGGATTGTTCTCACACAACACAACGCTGTGGCTTTCATCTTGCCAAGGAAGAGGTGACTTCAAGGGGACTGGATCATTTTTAAAGAAGGGTCAAGATCTTGTGTAGGCTTGGTCCTGCTGTTTGTTTGGGAGGTCTCTCAGGACTTAATTTAGATCTGTGGCAACCTTGGTAACAAGCAGAAAGCTATAAGTAAGCAATGGTCAGCCCTCCAGACTCTGGAGCCACTCAGGTTTTTCTTTAAAGTGGGCTTACAGCTCCGGGAAGTTTGACAAGTTTGGGCAAATTGAAGGAAATCTACAATCCTTGAAATGACAGTGTTATGCCTATGCCTACAAATATGTTTCTAGTAATCAGATGGTATTCTGGGGAGACAGTTGCAATGTGGGAGTTTATTTGGCCTTTTCAGTGTTTGTTTCTTAATTATTATTCTTTGGTCCTGGATCTAGAATGGAATCTGAGGAGTCAGCTCAGCCTGAACTTTTCTACTTGGAAATATCTCGTTGTTATGATTTCACTCCTGGTTTTTTGGCCACGAAATAATATTGCAGTATTCCCCTCCCATTTCTGGCTCAGAATAGGCAGATTAACCACTGGATTGTTCACCTTCTTTGTCTAGACTGGGACAAGGTGCCCCTGGCGTGCAGAACTGATAAAGATACCAAACAGAAAACTCATCTGGTAACAAGCAACCTGTTGAGGCAGAACCCATTTTGCAGGAAGGTTCATTGGTTCATTAAGCAGATGGCATGAACATTGAAAGTGCTGAGAGAGGTTTTTTACCCAGAGGAAATGCCTCTTGATAAAGATCATCACAAGCAAAATGTGCTTTTGCTGATATTTTATATCCACTATAGGATGCTAGGATTTGGAGTCCATTCTCATGCATTTGTGTCGGTTCACTCCTTCTAGCAGTCCACTCGGTTAGAAAGTTAGCTCTCTAATGGGATGAGACTGTTGCTGGAGAGTGTAAAAACAAACCGCCAGACTTGCACAGTCTTCACTGTTAATGTTCTCCAAACGCTACAAGTTAATGTTTAGACACCACTTGTAAGAGTGGTGGGAGGTACAGCTGGTGTTTGTTGATCTTTTCATTCTTCATCTGTTCTTCGTTGTCTTTTTATGCCAGATCAGACCCTTTCATTTCAAAGTTAGCATGGTCTTGCACAAAGATTTTCTTTACATACCAAGTTCAGCGCTACCATTTCAGGATCTCAACATTGTACGGCATTCCTCCTGAACTCTTTAAAAAAAAGAGGCAGCTAAAAACTCAGGACCCAGAAATGATTATGAAGACCACTCAGTATTCTGTCCCTGTCTTCCAGTAGGGATGAACTATACCCAGAGGCTTGAGCTGGTTTTGAAGGTATTTAAACAAAAAAAAAAGAAAAAAGGTAAGGAATATTATTATCTGACCAAGTTGTTACTTACCAACTGGTTAAAAGAATAGAAGCTTGATTTAATTCTTCACAGCTTGTATAATAAAATCAATTGCTGCCTGTTGTGACTGAAACGCATATGTATTTTTGGTTTCTGGCCTTAAGACTGTCAAAAATGCATTGCTGAAGAGGCTAACTTTATGCTTGCAATGTTTTAAAAATGTTTAAAGGACTATTTAAACTCTTGGCGATTCACTTCTTTGAGAGAGGACTTCAAGAGCAGAAGCACTGCTTGCACCATAGACTTATACAAAACCTTTTGAAATGTGTATGCATTCAGCTACTTTTCTGCTTGTGTAAGGTCTTTTTGTAACTAAAATTCTGTTTGAAAATAGATGCAAATATCTGCTGGAAGAGAAGGGGCAAGAATTTGTAAATAATGTTCACTTAACACATACATGGAGGGATTCCACAGTAAGTTGTCTTTTTTCACCAGCTACTTTTTTTTTAGTGATTTTGATGGAGAAATAATGTTTAAAATGTTAACTACAGAGCAGGGTGTATTTCTACAATCTTTGTGAAGTTGCTTTTTATCTTGTGAATACAGAATGTAGTTATCTTGCTGGGGTGATCTGATCCTAAGTGACTTCCTGCCCTTTGGGCAGGAGGGTTGGACCCAGCGATCTTATGAGGTCCCTTCTAGGTTTCTAATGTCTGTGAAATCTAGTGACTGAAAGCAATTTTCACACAACTGCCATAATCAACACAAAAAGTAAGTGATTCAGTTGTATTTCAGTTGCATAACAGAATATTTAGTCTTGGAGTGCTAAGTCCCTGAGGGCCTGTCTTTGTTGAAATCTTGACAGTATGGTTAGACTGGGGTGCACAGATGGTATCTTCCTTTATCATGTATAGGATTGCACTCGCCAATTAAATAATATATTGCATTCCAAAAAAAATTAGCTGTTTTGCAGCTGGGAGCTGTTTGAAATGGGCGTTACTGATATTTAAGTGTAACCTAAAACTTTTGTTTCCTGTCAATATTGGAAACTGTGGAAATTGTCTTTGAACAGACTTCCTTGGACTTCCAGAAGGCCTTCGACACAATGTCCCACCCGATTCGGGTGGGCAAGCTGAGGGACTGCGGCATTGCACGGTCACATGGGTGGCTAACTGACTCCAGGGGCGCACCCAGAGGGTGGTGGTGGACGGGTCGATGTTGACCTGGGAGGGTGTGGGTAGCAGAGTCCCCCAGGGCTCGGTCCTTGGGCCGGTGCTGTCCAACATCTTCATTAGCGACCTGGACGAGGGTGTGGAGAGCACCCTGTTCAAGTTCACTGATGACACCAAGCTGTGGGGTAAAGTGAATACACCGGCAGGCAGGGACCGCATCCAGGCAGACCTGGATAGGCTGGAGAAGTGGGCGGATCTGAACAGGATGCGGTTCAACAAGGACAAGTGCCGGGTGCTGCACCCAGGGAGAGGGAACCAGCATTATGGTTATAGGTTAGGGGCTGCCCCTCTCAGCAGCACAGAGGTAGAGAGGGATCTTGGAGTCAGGATTGACTCCAGGATGAATATGAGTTGCCAGTGCGACGAAGCAATAGGCAGAGCCAACCGCACCCTGTCCTGCATCAACAGGGGCATCACTAACAGGTCCAGAGAGGTCTTGCTTCCCGTCTACGTGGCGCTGGTCAGGCCGCAGCTGGAGTCCTGTGTCCAGTTCTGGGCACCGCACTTCAGGAGGGACATGGAGAACCTGGAGAGGGTCCAGAGGAGGCCACTCATATGGTTGAGGGCCTCCATGGCCAGCCCTATGAGGAGAAGCTGAGGGACCTGAATCTCTTCAGTCTCCGCAAGAGGAGACTGAGGGGGGATCTTGTGGCTGCCTACAACCTTATCAGGGGCCACCAGCAGGGACTCGGGGAAAGTCTGTTCACCAGGGCCCCCCTTGGAGTCACCAGGAACAATGGCCACAAGCTGAGGGAGGATAGGTTTAGGCTGGATATTAGGAAGAACTACTTCACAGTAAGGGTGGCCAGAGCCTGGAATCGGCTGCCCAGAGAGGTGGTGCTCTCACCTTCCCTGGACATCTTCAAGAGGAGACTGGACAGGCACCTGGCTGGGGTCTTCTGACCCCTGCCACCCCCAGTGCTCCTTCCTGCCCATGGCAGGGGGTTGGACTCGATGATCTGTCTAGGTCCCTTCTGACTCACTGATTCTATGAATATTACTTTAGCAACGCCGTGATTGTAGGGTAAAGATCATGTACGTATGGTTTACTGTGAGGTAGAGATGGAATTGTTTGCAAAGTCATGTGAAGGATGAATAATGACAGCGCGGATCCCTGCTGAATCTGAAATGAATCGTAGGTCCGCAGCCCTATTCAGCACCATGAACAAACCACCACCCTTTTCATGTATTTTAACTCCCTTGAAATTCCTTTCTTGAAATGTTCTCCTCTGTGTTTATCTTTCTCTTTTAGATAGAAGCTGCTGAAAAGACATCACTTACAGAAGGTATCATTTTTTCTAAATAAAATCATATGTTCTTTTATGCGTTCCTCAGTGGTTTTATTGTTGTGGCTCAAATACATGATGCGAGTAAAAGATAGTCTTGCTACTGTTTTTATTTCAAACAATTCAGTAGTAGAGGTGGCGCGTGGTTGACTGATCAGACAACCTTACTGTTTAAAAAAAAAAAAAGCAGCAAGGGGAGCGGGGAAGGAGGAAAAGTGAGCGAATTTTTACTTCCCTGGGGAAGGAAGCTGGTGTTGGGCTATTGGCTAAACACAGAAAAACAAAAGAAGAGCAGACAGTAATCTGGTGCATAGTTCTGTTTTGCACACTTCTGTAGCCAGTAGGCACACAATAGTTAATGCTAATACAATAGGAGGAATACTGAAATTAATTTCATTGGGTTTCTTGCCAAAGTCAAATTTTGGCTTAATTGGGGGGGGGGGAGCTTGAATAAGAGTCTAATTGCCTCATTCCTGTATTAGATGTTCTAGCACTGTTTCTTATAAAACAACACAAAGTTGAGAAAATAGTAGACTATTTTACAGCTGCTCAGGGAGCTGTGCAATGAGGAAAGCTCTCTGTCATTGATAATAATCTTATGATACCTTAAACTTTAAATTACTTTAGAAGTTCAGGCTTCCAAAGTACATTCACATTTGAGAGAGAGCTTGGCTCTGTAAGCAGCCTCATCAAGGAAAGAGGAATTGGATGACTCCTAAATTTATTCAGAACAAGGGGAAATAGCAGCTGCGCTGCTAGTAAAGCTATACAGAAGTTTCCATTGAGGGAGAGAAGAGAAACATAATGGCTGAAAATAATTTCCTGAAATCATTTGTTTATGTGAGAAGATTGAGGCCTGAAGCTGATAGCACTACAGTACTCTCGGTTGTACTGCATTTTGGTTTTCAGTTTTTAAATAATCAGGATGTTACTTGGGCTGCATATAGGTGGTTTTTATATAATCTAAAATGAAAGAAAATAAATTCGCCATTAATCTGTGCTTGGGGATTTATGAAGAGTCGCACAATAATTTGTCTTTAAGTGTAGAAATATGTTGTCTGAAGCAACAGTTTTCTTGGAAAAAGGAAGGTTGATTGACTTGCGTGATCTCTGGTTCATCTCAGACTGTAATATCAGTCAGAAGGGCTGAAGGAAGAGTTAATAGTAAAGCACATCTCTGAGGCCTACTTGTTTCATGTTTTGTCGTCCACAAGGTTAGCTGGATGGTTACTAGTCAAAGTTTGAATTTACTAATTTTTGGGTAACTGCTTTAACTGAAAATTACTCTCCAGTGAATACTGTCAAGTACTGCCAATTTGCTCTTGGTTAAATTGTTTTCTCCTTCAACTTTCATTGCAGACAAATTTTTACAGAGTCACTTGGTACAGAATGCAATGAGTATGGGTTTCAATTTGTCTGAGATTAAGAACATTATAGAGAAGAAACTGCAGACATCTGGAGAAAACTATACCTCTGTTGAGGTTTTGGTCGCAGACTTAATAAATGCTCAGAGAGCAAATGCACAAGAAGGATCCAGTGAGAACCCACTGATTAAAGGTGAACATTTTAAATGGCAAAACATTTATGAAAACTGCTTAGTACTGTATAAAAAAAAAAAAAAAATCCTATTGGTGTATTACTGTTGCTACCGTTAATCTCTGTCTTGCTTTCCAGAAAGAACACGCATATAATGCTTGTAATTTTGAGAGAATTTAATAGAGTAGTGATGTATGCAGACCACTGAAAACCCAGTGTTTTAAAATACTCTCTCAACAGTAACTCGCAAACATGTTCTGCTTTATACTACAAAATAGGCACACAACTCTGATGCTGCAATAATTTAGAGAGGTTTTGTAATCTGCAGTTCTGAGTCTTCGAAGGCATTGTCTATTTGAAATTTGACCACTTCCAAAAATTTTGTTTAAAAGTAGTCTCAACTTTTACCCCCAGCTCCTGAGTTGCCCTGCCAACTTTTGTGGTGGTGTGTTTTCCCTGGTCTCCTCCCACCACCCAAAAAACATGACTACCTTTCTGTGGCTAAATAATTCTCCTAGCAAAGGGTGAAATGACTATACAGAAGAAGCTATGGAATAAACTGTGCCAGGAAATGGACTACGCAGAGTACTGTCAAATGTCCATTGTAAACACACAATGAAATACAAAGAAACTTTTGTTTCCTCTGCTCTTTCCATTATAAAGCTTTTTTAATTGGTTATATCGAATCATAGAAAATGAGGGTTGGAAGGGACCTCAGGAGGGTCACATCTAGTCCAACCCCCTGCTCCAAGCAGGACCAGCCCCAACTAGATCATCCCAGCCAAGGCTTTGTCGAGTCAGGTTTTAAAAACGTCCTGGGATAGAGACCCCACCACCTCTCTAGGTAACCCGTTCCAGTACTTCACCACCGTCCTGGCGAGAGTTTTTCCTAATATCCAACCTAAACTTCACTTGCTGCAACTTGCTTCTTGTTCTGTCATATAAGGACATGTTGCTTCCTGGCCTGTGAGAGGCAGGAGGTGGTGTGTTTGTTTTTTTTTTTTTAATGGTAGTACATGTAAAGCAAAACCGTATTCAGGATTCTGTGATGGCTACTCTGCAGTTGTAATGAAAAGAAAAACCCCTACTCCAAAGAGTTTTTTATAGTCTAAAACAAGACTACAGAGAAACAGAAGAGGCGCACTTCTGGTTGACCTGATATGCAATGATCTCAGCATACCAGCATGTCATGGAAAAGGAGAGTTTTAAAGAGGGTTACAGAGGATTGTAATGCATTGTATTTATGGGTGATTATGGGGCATTCTTTCCATATGTGGTAGCAGCACTTTAGAAAGAAGCAATTTTTTTTTTGTCAAGTAAGGTGCAGGTCAGTTGGATGGTATAGAACTGAATTAACATGAGATTGGTTTGTTCTGCAGTATGACTTTTGATTAATACTCTGGTGCTCAGAAGTGGCTACTTGCCATGTTAAAATAATTTTTCATGGGATTCTTTTCTTTAAAAAAATCATTTGAATCAATATTTCAGTCAACACCTGACATCACTTACCTATGTACATTTCTGGCAGGCAGGTGTGATAGTATTTATGTCTTCAAAACTGTACTCTTTTGTTTTCTGACTTTGAGTTCAGACTTTTTCTTATTTGTGCATAGCGCATTCAGTCAGCTGTCTCCTGTGCTGAGAACTCCCTCTTACATCGTCCACGATAACAAAAGTTTGAGGGCAGTTACTAGTGGGAAGTCAGTGACTTTTTTTGAGAGTGAATTATGCACTTCCTGGCCTCTGGATATTCTAGAGCAGCATGTCTGGAGAGCTGACTCCTGCTTGCACAGCTCTGGGAGACACAGTGGGTGTTGGGAGGCAGTGTCGGTGAGGAGTTGCTAAATTGCATATTAGTTTGCTGCCTCCTATGTGGTGGGGGAAGAGCAGGGGGGATGATCTAGCTCTGTTGTATCAAAACACGTTTTATAGGGCAGAGAGCCTTGAGATCAGCTGCCGTTATGAAGTATGCTAACTCATTCTGTTCATTTCCTTTTTTCCTTAGATCTTAGTGTGGAAGACAAGTTAAGACGTTTACAGGAGGAAAAGCTCTGTAAAATCTGTATGGATAAAAACATCTCTGTAGTTCTTATTCCCTGTGGCCACCTGGTTGCTTGCAAGGAATGTGCTGAAGTAGTTGTTAAATGCCCCGTGTGTTGCACAGTTATTACAAAAAGACAGAAAATTTTTATGTATTAGTCAAATGTACAGCGAGTGCTGCTTGTGCAAATGGTTCCTATTATGTTGCTGAAATCTTTGTAAAGCATTAACTGACAGTCGGGATGATAAACAGTCTAGCGCGCAAACGTATTTAGAGTGCCTCCGTTTGGGGATAATAGAAAGAATAAAGCTTTAATCAGTGCCCTAAAATCTTATGAATCAGTAGTTAGAGGCTGCTGTATTTATGTGGTTTACAGCACTCGCATTCAACTGGAACTTCTTTATTCCTCTCCTCCGTTTATGCCCTGTCATTTTACTTGAGCTGACAGCTTAGAATATGACTCTGTTCTCTGATTTTTATATATCACACTCTCCTAGTTTGTTGCATGTGCATAAATTTAAGTATACTCATAAATGGCATGGGAAACCTGAGTGCTTGATTCACAAGGACAGTGTAGGCTGAATTTGTAAGACTGCTTCTGTCATTAGCCAACTTTCAGAGAGTGCAGAATGTGGGCAATAAACTTCAAAGGGCAAATGACAAATGGGGAAAAGTCCAGCCATGTTTCTTTTGCTATCAACTGTCTTAGATTATATTTACTAAAGCTAGAATAGTAAACCGTTAACCCCCATTTGGGAGTGGCATGAGGAGATGGTAGGTTCGGGGGCAGTAACATTTCAGTGACAGAAACAAAATAGCTGACACTTTGTTTTGTTTTCAGTCTAAAATTGAAACGACTGTCTAATTTCCTCTCAAGGGTTAATTTTCCTTCCAACTTGGTGAAACAGTCCATTACGTAATTTATTTCTCTCCCAGGGGAAAATAGCATCTTTCTCGAAATCTCATAACCTCACTGACCCACTAACACTTACAGATATTTAAAAATGATTTGCATGACAGAATTATGAAGATAACTTCCATGATTTTTAATTGGCTTTCATATAGTTGACCCCTTTCTAAATGTGCATCAACGCTTTCTGTCCAGTAAAAAAAAAAAAAAAATCAGCTAATACCACTTCCACCTAAAAGGCAAGTAATTATCTTCTTGTTATTTACGTGTCACAGAATTACTTTCCCAAAGCAGCAGCAGCTTTTTGTTATGCTAAGGCCTTTTGTTTCTCCGAATAACACTGCCTTAAAACGACTTCCTATAGCCCAGTAATAAAAGGATCTGAAGCTATCACCAAAAGGCATGCCTCTTTCTTTTTTCCAGGCTTAGTCAGGGCCTCTCCTGCACAGAGCCGGTTCCCAAACGGCCTTAACCTTGGTCCTGTTTTAAAAAAGCCAAAACAAGTATAAACAGTGAAGGGGGGAAATGTCTTCCTCAATTTTTCCTTTAGACTCACTCATTGGCAACACCCTCAAAATGATCGGAGCTTGTTTATAAAGCCATTACATCTTTGAAGAGTCATAGTGATCTCTTTTATATAAAATGTTTTCTTTGACATTGTTCATATATAGTTGCCAGATTCACAAAGGAATAATGTGACGACAAACTGCAGTATCTATTCTGGGACAACAGCCAAGGCAGCCTTCTAATACTGGGAATCCCAGGGTTATGTTTCATTAGTGAGGAGGGTGAAAGAAAACACCCGCGGTTGCCGTAGTTATGCCAACAGAAGTCCTGGTGGTAAACTCTGCTACAGTGACAAAAAGACCTTTGGCTGATATGGGTTAATTGAAGGAGCTGGTCTCAGTCATACCAGCAAAAGACTTCTTGTCATTATAGACCTGCCTGGAAGCACCTGATCTCGCAAGGTGTGGAGGACTCTGTTCATGTTTTCTGTCAGAGGGAATTGAGGATGCACAGCTTCTTGCAGAAGCCTGCCGCAGAATAGAAACTGCAGTTACATATTCAGAGAATCAGGATGTATTAATGTTCTTTCAGGATGAAATGCAAAGTGTATTAGGGCTCGTTTCTACATCTTCCCTCCTCCACCCCTTCTGGTGATAATTTTAAATGCCTAATATTACTGTGCTTAGTAATAATAGTACTGTTACTTCAAAAACAAAAGTTGGAAGATAAGAGTTTAGCATCTGCTTCAAAGAAACTCTGGACAAGAATAGAGGGTTGGACGAGAAGTTTTCGAAGTATTACTTTTCCCCCTCTTGTTGATAGTGCCAAATGTTAAACTTGGGTATTTCAAAAATGTATTTTTTGAAAAACTAGTCTGGGCTTTTTCCCCATAAAAGTCTTGAGAGTTTTAATGAAATTTCCAACCATAGGAAAATAATTGATGAAAGGTTTTGGTCTAATGTTGTCAGGACATAATTATCATGTGCTTGAAAATGCCTTCATTTCACCTGTAATGCGTATTCTCAAAACACATAACCCATACAAATTGGGCACGCTGAAAGATGCTGTGAGCGACAAGTGCCAGTTGCGGAGTGCCATCACTGGGAATTCAGTTTAGATAATCCACCCACTCAGTCTCGGATCCATTTTATAGTGCCATGTGTACGTATTCAAAATGGGCTGTATTTCCAGAATGTATTAATATGGTTTGTGGTAGAGGACTGTGCTTTTAAAATCCAAATTTTAAGAATTTTAAAATCTATTTTTTGTTATAACTCCATGTTAAATATGTATGAAATAATAAGAGAGCAAGATTATATATATTTTATTATTTAACAATTTGGGCCTGATCCTGCAGACTCTTGGCACGTGAAAAATGTACTTCATGGGAGTAAATCCAAACCATGGGAAGTGATCTCATGGCTGAGTATTTCCTTTCCAGTGCTTGACTCCAGTAGACTCCTCAAGTGACTGATGTTACGTACATGAGGGTTTTTTTGCAGGGTCTGGCCCTTTTATAATGTGTGTATGTACCAGTTGTAAATGCGGATATTTTCTGAGTTTCCATGTATATAATGTCATACTCTTCGGTTCACAAAGACACTATATGTCAACGTTATCCTACTTTTGGACTTTTAGTTTGCAATGTAATCTAGAGCGTATGTTTGAGCTAGCTTCTCCTGTTTTAGCTTAGATAGGCAACACCTAGTTCTGATGTTTCTGTTTTACCTTCTTTGAATACTTTTGTTTTTATACAAAAAAGTCTGTTGCTCAAGATCACATGTCCACTGTTTGCTTATCAGCCATAGTTCTTCTGTTCTAGAATCCTTCTGCTTCTTTAATTAACATTCCCTTTTGTATAATTAGCCACTTGCTAATGGTGAACATTTAATTGACTGCTTTCAACTTTCTGTGTATTTGTTTTCCTGCTTTGCCATCTGATTTCCTAGTAGAGACAAAAAAAGGTATCTAATGCACTGCATGCCAGAACGATTTTCCTTTCCTCTCTTTCCTCTAAGGATATGTCAACTGAAGCTAATAGGCATCACGTACTTCTGTTTCTTTGAGCACTAAAGGTGTTATTTTAATTAGAAATTGTAATGCCAATCATAATACTCATATGTTCTGTTTAATGTTTTATCTTGTGCATATTTTTTTTATTAGTGCTTTCCAATTCTTTCCATTTTCATAATCAAGAAGCTAAATTCGCATGTCTTCCTAATGCTGCTTTTTAAAAAAAATAGCACTAAACTTTGGGGAAACAGTTTAGAAAACTGTCATTTTTTGTTTTCAGTCAGTTTCACTTGTTTTTGAAGTTAGCGGTTTGAGCTCAAATAATTGCAGGGAAGAATTTGAATTAAATGTCATCTTAAGATATTGTTTAAAAATTACACTTTATTTTTGTGTTGGGTCGTGTAATGTTCCTCTTAAATCTTGATTTTAAAGATATCTAAATTTTGGATTAATAAAACTAGACTTATGAAATGTCCTAAACTTGTGGAAATTTAGAGTATTACTACATGCTCTTGTATATAGAAATGTATTTTGGAATCCTAAGGGTTAAATGATGTGTCTGATTTGGTATATTAATTTGTGATTCTTACTACAGAAGATAATTTTTCATTTCAACTATACGTTCCAAAGTACTGGAATGGGACATTTATTTTTTTTAAATGTTTGTTGTGATTATGTAATTTGATTTTATGAATTATTTAAATAAAAGTAAAAGTAAATTGAGTAATGTGAGCTCTGTTTTCTGCTTTGAAATAGCGCTTGAAACACTGCATTATTTTTTTATTTTTTTTTTTACCCTTGTAATTTTTCAGCTGCATACATCAAATGAGCCTAGTAAATATATATATATATATTAATAGAGACAAAAAGAAACAAAGTACTTGTTCTCCACAGAGAACTAAATTCTGCTTCTCTCTAAAATCCTGTTGACGTGTCTGTAAGGTGAGTAAAATTTAGCCCCTGGGAACAGATGACTTTGAAAGGAAATCAGGCCTGGTTGTATTACACAACCTCTTCTGGGAAGTTTGCTCTTCATGGATTTTATTCACATGGAGCTCTAGGTAGGGAAGCTTTAATTCTCAATTCTTAGTCTGCCTTTGCAAGATGTTTCTTTAGTAATTTGTGTGCTGTTCCATGAAAATGTTGTGTTTAGACAAAGTGTCCAGGGTACCAGGGTGGTGGGAGGCCAGATTCCCACTGAAGGTCACTGGGAGTTTGTTGCCTTTGAAAAGTCTCCCCTTTGGGTGTGGTATTTTTCCCTTTTAGAAGGCAAAATGCATTTTAGAAATGGGCTTATTTTTTGTCTTGAAATACCTCATGCAGGGACCATTCCTCAATATGGCCCAAGCGTGCTGAATACATCTGCTGACTTTCTCAGGCAGGTGGTTCATAATCCCAGCCAGATCAAAGGTTTGCAGGAGCGTTTCTCTCAAGGAAGGACATCTAACTGGTGGGCTGAGGAATTCAAAGGGGAAGCGATTAGGAACAGCTGTCTGGGGAGATATTTGAGCCAATTTGTTGGGGTTTTTTTAATCAAAATTATCTCCAAAAAGAGGATATGGTTGAACTTAGGCAGCATGTAAATTGTGTTTGAGAGCAGGCAGACATGCCAGTGGCTCTTAATGCTTGCAGCCTTACACTTTTTCCACATTAGACATAAAGCAAATAAACAGCCTTCTTGTATATATAACTTTAATGCAGAAGATTCTTTGTTTCACCTCCTCTGAAGGCTAGCTTTTAAAAAGCATCGCATTACTGCTGTGTTCAGTTGCAATGTCATGTTTTAAAGAGTAATAAAACTAATCAATAGTCAGTGTTCAGATTGTAATAGAGTCAATGACAATTGAGGGTTAAAACCCTCAACTTGTTAGTAAGACTTTGAGAGCTGCTCCATTAAATGCAGTTTTAAAAATTGTAATCAGTGCTCTATTCACACTAAATGTGAGCGAGTAATTAACATAGCCATCAAATTATGACAGCTTGAATTAGTGACTTTTTTTTTTAAACTGTTGTGACTTTTTTTCCAGTGTCTCTGAAAGACGCTTCAGTGGTTCTCAAAGGGTGGTGCCAAACTGAGTATTTAGGGAAATATTAGAAAAGAAGAATTTGGGTAAGTGGGAGATTCTTGAGGAAAGGCTGGGAGAAAGCTGGTGACAGGGCATTAGAGGCCTGAAAGTTGCTTTACAACCAGCATCTATCGTGGAAAATCTGTTGGAGCGGTGTAACACAATGTTGAAAGTGTGCTGCTCCTCTCTGCTGTTGTTTGCTGTGCAGAATGAGTCATTCCTGTCTTATTTGTACTATGTTATTTAGCAATGGCAGTTCCCATTAATTTAGGACAGTGATTCATTGCTGCAGATCTGTTGCAATGTTTTACAGATATTTAATTATATATTGGAATTGACATTAAACTGGTTTAACAGTATTTATATAAAGTACTAGAAAACAAGGGAATTCCATGGTTAGGTTAGGAGTGTTGGGTAAAATAATCTATAGTAGATCCAGAGCTTCTGTTTACTTCATACTTGTTTTAGTTCCCGCTCAATGTCCTCTCAGTGAAACATAAAACAGTATTCATTTACTCCACATCTTCCTGCAAGGTAAATGGAAGAACCTCATATATACTTAAGTGTGCCTATGTACGAGTTATGCAAATCCAAGATGAGGTATTCCTTCCCTCCCTCCACCAGTC